TCTCCCCTTTGTCCTCAACTGCTCTTAGTGGCACTGCCTGTAAAATGGCTATTAACATGACAAACATCTAATCAGTCCTGTGCCCAACCAGGTTGCATGCTGGCCACTCAGTGAGGCCATTTCCCTGATGAAGAGGAGTCAGTTGCAGGGCACTGCAGGGGCTGACCTGCACCCTTCATCTCAGCAAGGCTGTGCTGCCAGATCAGAGGAAAGGATGGGCCCACTCAGTGATCCAGCCTCTTCCTCCCCACCAGGCTGCTCTGGGTCAGGGGTCTGGACCCCTGGTCTCACCTTAAATCGAACCATGTAGAGTGCATCTGTCAGACGGTTCATGCTGGGGTGCTCATCCCCTGTCTGTCAGGGAGAGGGTAGTGTGAGCTCAGCACCCACTGTGTTCTGGAACTAGGGGCAGTGCCAGGCCTCCCATGCTCCTCCTGGCCCTGGGTAACCACCCCTCACCTCCAAGAAGACACCGACCACAGCCAAGCCATCAGGTGCTGAGGCCGCCTCCCCAAAGGTGCTGTATTTCTTGGCGTTCCAATGAACCAGGTGCAGCTACAGGGGCAATGATAGGCCAGGCCAGGTCAGTGCTTAGTACCTTCAAGGAACCATGGAGCTCGAAGCAAGGCTTCCCTCACTCCCATCACATTTCCAGCCCCTCTGTAGGAGGGGTACGCTGTCAAACCTTTCAGGCCTGGGGTCCTGGGGGGCTCAGAGGAGCTTCCAATGGCCATAGATGGCATCTACTCTGCTTTGGGCCCAACCTTTTCCTGAGCTCTAGGAGCCCAAAACGGAGTCTGGCTCAGGACCTGACCTTGGTGAACAATCTGTGAAATAGATAATGGCCATCCAGTGTGACACCTCCCTGAGCTGAGTCCAAAGAATAAGCAGGGGGTTATCAGACGGAACCCTTGGGGCAAAGTATTCTAGGCAGAGAGAACAGCATAAAGCAAACGCCTGAAGGTATGAAAGGGCAAGATGTGAGCAAGGGATTCATTATATGGTGCTCAGTATGGGGAGAGGCTGGGGGAAGATGAGGCTGGGCAAGGCCAGTTCATGCAGGGCCTTGAATGTCAGGCTGTCATTAAAGAGCTGTTGGCAAGGGTATGGCAGGACTGCATTTGCCCTTTGGAAAAGTTTTTCTGGACACACAGACCAGGACAGCAGTGGGCTCCTCCTCAGCCTCTCCAGAGCCCCAGGCCAGGAACCCATCAAGCCCCTAACTATCCAGTCCTTCCCCAAAAAGTAAAGGGATTCAGGTAGAGCAGGACCCTTACCTCACTGGGGAATGACTTGCCATCCACTGTGTGCTCTGAGCCCACACTGTGCTTCTTGCCCCAGTGGAAGTGGAACTGCTTGAGCCGGTAGGGCCCATCCAGGGGGCCTCCAGTCACCACTGCAGGAAGAGGTGGGTTGTGTGTGTAGTAATTGGTATGGGAGGCCCCAGCAGATGGTAGTGCTAGGACCAGGGCAGTGCCCAGGAAGGGGAAACAGTTTTCATCTGGAAAATTCATTGGGCAAACTGAGCTTGGGTCAGTTCCCACCTCATCCCTTCAGCCCTTAGGAGGGCCAGGAAAGAAATCCTGGCAGCCTGCAGGTGATAGAGGAGTCTGGTCACAATAGTATCTCATTCCATCTGGCAGGTCATCCTCCCTATTCCTGCCCAATTTCACATGGAAACCGGGACCTTGCCTCTCAGGCCCCCATTACCACTAACAATAGGCCTCTGACTTCTGGAGCCCTGACCCACGGCTATATTGGAAATACCATTGTATTTAGTCCTCAAAGAAGCCCTTGACAGAACCTACTATTATTTCTGTCTTATAAAGGAGGGAATTTAGGCACAGAGAAGGCAAGGCATTTCCCCAAGGTCACACAGCAAGGCACTGAGCTAGGATGTAAGTCCATATCTCCTTCATCAGTGCAGAGCCCAAGTCCCTAATCACCAGGCTATGCTATCTCCCCAGAACCTTGAGCCTCCCAAGGAACTAGTATTATCAGGCCAGCTCCTGAGGTCCCTGCTCTGATGGCCAGGCCCAGGTACCTCCAATGCCTCTCCCCCATGGCCTCTTTGGAAGGCTCCACTTGTGTCCTGGTTTTGTGACTTCTCCACCCTAATACCCTATGAGCTGGGGCCATGTATGAGCCTCCTGGGACTGATTGAATTTCCAGCTGAAAGGGATCTATAGTGAAGGAGACTCTGGCAGGCCTGAATGTGAGCCCCTGGATCAGGTGACGGCCCCTGAGCTCAGGGTTTCACTAGGCCCCTTCAGGATGGATGACCAGAGCAGGGCCTTCCCCGGGGTCCCCTTGAGGAGGAGGAGGATGGTGTCCCAGAGAGCCCTCCTTGCTGCCTTGCTTTATCTGAGAAGCAGGGTCTGTCCATGGCAATCCTAGGCAATTGACAAAGGGGAGTCTGGAGGTGGTGGCCATAGGCAGGAGCCCAATCGGGCTGCCCCATCCTGGGGAGGCAGGAGTAGCTGGGCCTGCAGGTTGAGCTCCCTGATAGGACCCTTAGGTGCCCAGCCCTGTGAGCATGCCCCACCTGGGACCCCATATATAGTATCTCAGAGAGTAAACGTCCTCCTTAACTCCCTGAGTTTGGTTCCCCTGGCCTCCTCGCTCTGTCCTGACCATAGAACATATTGCCACACACTGTGCATCCACTATGTGTTCTGTACTTTACTAGCATCATCTTCGACAGAGTCCTTGAGGGGCACAACCTGTTATCCTGTTGGACAAATATGTGACTGAAACTCAGAAAGGCAGACATTCTGCCGAAGGTCACAAAGCTGGTGAGTGGCAAAACCCCAACTGTGTCGCACCCAAACCCACCCTCTTTCCTTGGGCTACCTGATACCTAAGGCCTGGATATTCTGGTAGGGGAGGGAGCCCCAGCCAGGCCTGAAACTGAGCCCCTCCATCAGTGGCCCAGAAGAATGACATCTTGGGCCTTCCCCAACAACAGTGGTCCTCACTGAGCCACTGATGCCTGAACTGAACCCTCTGTGCCATCCGAAGGCACTGTGTAGGTACAGCTGTGTGCAAATTGCTCCTTTATAAACTGTCATCTAGGGTCATCAAGAGCTCCATGTCTCTCCCCAAAGTTCTGGGTAAGAGGCTTTCTTAGAATTCAGTATCAGGAAATGCTGTGTCTCTCGTCTGCAGAGCTGCAGGATTTTCTCCATTCTGCAACAAGAACTTAACTGATTCTCTTTCCCTTTTTTCCTAGCCTGCCATGGAACTCAGGTCTAAGCAACTAAGACCACTCTTATATGGCTTCCCTCCTCTTCTGTGCTTTTTGATTTTCTATTTGAGACTTAAATTCCCTTGAGTGCTTTTATTGTGTGTGTGTGGAGGCAGGAAAAATACCAGTCAGTTCCTTATACAAGAAACTCTAGCAGTTTCCCTCCTTGCCCACTCCACCCCTCACAGGCCTGGTCTTAAGGACAAAATCCCTTCACTGAGAAGCACTCCTGAGGACTCTGCCTAGGAACTTATCATGAAAGATCTTGGACTCTAATCCCAGGGCAAAGAGACCTTGGAAGGAGCTGCCACAACACAAGTTCTTTCTGGCCTCTCTCTGGCTCAAGAAGGTTGGGATCTTGAGGTTGTGGGTAGGTTGGAAAGACCTTTGGGGTTGGACCAGACTGGTTCTGGCATTCCCCAGCTCACTGAGTCTCTACTTGCCCATCTTAGAGGTGAGCTCTTGGAGAAATAAAAGAGCTGCCTAACACTTTAGCAAGGGACCTGGCACACAGAACTTTTCAGCTTCCTTCTTTCTCTGCCAGGCTTGACTAGTCACCCAGAGAGGAAGGTTTGGCATTAGGCCATACAGCAGGTCAGTGATTGGGCAGGGAGTGAAATCAAACCTGACCTAAAACACCAAATGGTAGAGAAGGGAGTTAGCATTTCTTGAGCATCTGCTCTACGCCAGCATTACAAAAACCATGTCAGTTTTCCATTTCTCCTCCCTATGACTCTAGAGAGGAAAATAGGATCTTATTGTCCTATTCTATGCATATAGAGACTGAGGCTCAGCCCAAGGCTTCATAGCTAGTGAAAGGTGGCGCTTTCCTTTCCAACCGCAGCATGCTGACCAACACAGGGGTAGGACGGCAGGGTGAGGGGTGCCTGGCTCTGGTGGGGGCCACTTACCAGTTCTGTCATCACTCTCATTGAAGTCCACCTGGACTGAGTGGCCATTGTTGGCAATGCTGAGGGATGTGCAGGCCTCATAGGAAAGCTCCAGTGGCTTCAGGCTGGGTGAATATACAGCCTGGCTGGATACGATATTGATTGGTGATTGGCGGTCTCCCTGGGCAATGGGATACAACTTGTGCCACTGTGAGGGGCCTGCAGGTGGAGAGAGAGCAAGGACTCAGGCCAATGCTTATCTCTGGGCTGTAGGCCAAGGACACATGTGTGGGTGATCTCCCTGGTATCCTTTCAGAGGTTAGCCTTAGCTGTGGAGCTGTATAGCTTGGAGTGCCAGCCTCCGCTTTTCCACTTCCCCTCTCAGCCTCCATTTCCTTGTCTGTAAAATGGTCTCACTAAAAATTCATCTTCCAGAGCTGATAGGCGGCCCAGAGAAGTAACGTAAGCATTGAAGGTAACATAACACAGCTACAGGCTTGGGAGCAGTTCTAGGCAGTGAGTCCTCTCCAATATCCAGTACATGCTCAGAGAGGCTCCCAGGAATCTAAAGTATCTGGCCTGACCCTACCAGGTATCTGGCCTTTTCCTGCACTCTGGGGATGCTCCTGTACATGTTTGTGATAATAACAAAAGCTCACAATAACCTAACTTTGGCTCTGTGACATGCATTTGCTCCTCACAACCACCTTGTGAAGCAGAAACCAGGATCATTCCCATTTCACAGATGAGAGGACTGAGGGCCACTCACACATATGTGCACACATACTTGGACACTGGTGTAAACACACAGCAGGTGCATACATTGCCCCAAGATGCCCTCCCCAGGCACATGCTTACAGGTTCATAGAGATTTTCACATATACACATGTATGCGCACAATGACGTGGGCTCATCAGACCCAGAGAGGTAAGGCCCAGGACACACGTGTGCAAACACAGCTCTGTCAACTACATCAGATGCATGCATAAGCACTCTCACACAAACACCCCTGTTGCAAACCAAGATCTACACTTAGAGACTGCACTACAGCAAAACACGTGCTCATGCACACACACACACACACACACACCTGCGTGCACACCCACGGGCGCCCACCACCTGCCTCCCAGAGGCTCCATCTGCAGCCGAGAGGCTCGGCATCTCCCCGGGGAACATCCTGAGATGTAGCCTATTTTTAGAGCTATTGCCGGCTGGTGCTTCTCCTCGTTTTTGGCTTCTTAAGTTTTCCAGAGAAAACAGCAGCAGGTGCCGACAGAGCTGTGTCCCCGATGGATGACTCAGAATCGTGGCCCAGACCCACTGGGTTATTTTTGAAGTCCTGTGAGCATGCAGCATGCTGGCACCTCTATACTCTGTCCTTCCCTCCTGCATTGCCCCTAGAATGAATGGCCCGGGTCTGGCTGGGCGAGGGGTAGCAGCCTGAGGGTGGCAGGCCCATAAGACAGGCTCTACAGAATACTGGATGCTCAGAGCTGGGGGCAGGAAGGCTGGAGTCAGGGGACTCTGACTCCGGGGGAAGCTCCCAGAAGCTGGCTCTGGGAAGGTGATCTTTTATGGTTTTGTTAACTTGCCCGTTCTCTGGCTCTCTCTCTCCATCTCTGCTGGTCTCTGTTGCCTTTTTCTGAATGTCTCTTTCTAGTTTTTGCATGCCCAGATCTGGTGTTCTCCTCTCCAAAATATTCTCCTATGTCCTCAGGGTTCCAGAAGGAGCCAGAGACCTACAGCATCTCCTTAACTCTCTCTGGACCACTGCAACCTCTTAACTCCTGGACTATAGCCCAGGACCTTCACCCGCCTTCACAGAGTGACTGGTTGACCCCAGAGAAGTGGGGGTGGGAAGTGTTTCTCTCACGGGCACTTTCCTTTATGCCCACACCCACCTGCCCAGGGTTTCCTCTTGGCAGCCTGAATCTTGTGTCCCATTGTTCACCTGAGGAAAAGGGTGAGTCCCGTCGTAACCCACCTTCCCACCCTGGCTTAGTGAGAAATAGCCCCAAAGGGAACTGACCTGCCCCAAACCCACATTCAGCCATTTGTTTTTCACCTTCTGCCTTTTCTCCCTTCCTTTATGTCCTAAGGAAACTGAAGCAGAATGGAGGTGCTATATTTCTGGTCTGCCCAGAAGGCTGGTGTGGGCCAGGGGCTTCCAAGCTTCACTCCAGGACGGGCTCAGATACCTTGCTGCAGGCACCCAGACATGTATGTGAATCCCCCAAATCCCCTTCCCTCACATACCTGCCCACAGGAAAGCTCAGACACTTCCGCGGGGAAACTCCCGGGGACACCGCGCCCTTGTCCACGCGGAGCCCAGCTCCCGGGAGGTCCCCGCACACATACTGTGCGCGCTCCCCGCAGACACCTGCGCACAGCGCTCCGCCCCAACCGTCCCCCGCTGCCCTGGGCCACCTCTCCCTCTGCGACACGGAGGCTGAGTGAGCGTCGGGGCCGGGTCCAAGCAAGCGCGGCAGTCAGGGACTGCGCGGAGGAGGCGGCGGCTCGCTGGTGGCGGGGCTGGCTGGGTCGCAGGGCGGACTTTGCGCCAAGCGCTGGGGAGCCAGCACTCGGGATGGGCAGAGGGGCCGGGTGCTGGGATCTGGACAGGAGGGGGATCTTGGTCCGGCCTGGGGATGGAGGGCTTGCGGGTCCAGGAAACCCAGCCAGGCGCGAGTCCCCGCGGGTCCGCGCCTACCGTCGTTCTGGCCGTAGCCCCAGCCGTGGTGGCCGGTCATGCCGCTGTAGTCCCCGCAGCCGTGCACCTGCCCGCTTGACTCAGTTCTGCTCGCCTGGGCTGCGGCTCCGGCCCGCTTGCTGCCACCGAGCAGCCTCTTAAAGCGGCGGCGGGCGGGAGGAGCAGTGCCTGGGGGACCCGCCCCCGCCCCTCAGCAGGGTAAGAGAGGCCGGCCGCGCCCCGCCCCCCACCCGCCCGCCGGCCAGGAGAGCCCGGAGTCCTCACCCCCACCCCAGCCCTGGCTGGACCGCTCTCCCTCCTTTTCTTCTGCACGTGTACAGGCTCTGGGACACCAAGAAGTGCTCGTGCCGAGGGCTGCCCCAGTTTCCCCAAATCCACTTCCTTGGCAGGTCCCTGAGCGGTAAACCCCCCCACCTAGGACCTGCGCTCTGGGCCCTGAGTCCTCTGGGAGCGGAGAGTCCTCTCTAACCTGCAAAGGGCACTGACTATCAATGTTTGGAACCGGAGCTTCCCCTGTTTGCCAGACACTGTGGCAGGTGCTGGGCCAAACTTTGGGTCCCTCCTATCATCTGTCCCTCTCTGCTACCTTACTACATTGGGTGATTCTTCCATTAGCCCTATTTCACAGAGTAGAGGACTGAGGCTTAGAGAGAAGTTCCTTGGCCAAGGTTACCTGGCCAGCGTGAGAGGGACTCATTCCCAGTTTGCCTCACTGCAGATACTGTGCTCTTTACCACTTCTCCTTGGTGCTGGGAGCAAGGGGTCCCTGGGATAGGTGAGGGGAGCAGGACTGGCAATTCAAGCCCCTGGCTCAGAGGGAAATGGTGAGTGGTGGCATCAAGCAATGGGGATACAGACAGACAGACCTACAGACACCAGCTGGCTTCCTCATGGAACCAAGTCTGAAGCCCTGCTTCCCACCCTCTTTCTTATTCTCTCCATTGCTTCCTCCTGTCCAGGACTCTGCGTGTTCCTCTGTAGCCCACTGTCTGTCCCTCCTTTCCTTGCTTCCTCATGACCTCTGACATACCTCCTGGGAGCTCAGGTCCTCCACCCTGCACTTCACCTCAGTGCCTGGCTTGGCTCAACATTTTCTCACCCATGAGCCCTGGTCCTTGCTGTGCCCTCCACTTGGTGCATCCTCTCTGTCTTCCACCCACTGGCTCCAGCCGGCCCAATCTGATTCATCTTAGAATGTGGCCTTGTGCCAAGTATAGGGCTTGTCTCTGGCTAGACCTCAGCAAGCAATTTTAGGAAGAAAAACAGATGGGCAGCTGGAAGAACAGACAAATGACCCCACCCAGGGGCCTGTTTCCAACAGAAGTTGAAGGCCCATTTGTCTGACCTTGACCAGAGGAGGCTATTACAGGCCCTGATCTTGGCTGGCCTTGGAAAGGACTTTTCCATCTTGTCTGCCTGGCTCCCCTACTTCTCTGTGGCTTCCTCGGTTTCCTTCTCCCAAGCTCTAAGCCCTAGTTCCACAGTAGAGTTGTATAGATTAATTGACAACTAACTTGGCTAGGCCAAAGTCAGTCAGTGAATTTACAGCCCTGCTTAGTCCCCATCTCTGGCCCAGGAGCTGGAAGGGGCCCTTAATATAAATTTGACCATAGGGCAGGGACAGGTACTTACGATAGAGATGCAGGGACTGGCCCCCAGACCAGCATGTGACAGAGAATGCAACATTTTCAAGGCCCCAGCTTTCCAAGCCAGAAATGCCGTCTTCAGACTAAGAAGACGAAAGCTTGCTTTGGAGAGAGGCCTGCAGCCTTTTTCCCAGAGGAGCCAGCCACGCTTCTCCTGGGGGAGTTGTAACACTTTCAGGTCCGGGGAATGGGCCCAAATGTGTCATCTACTTTGAAATTCACCCACTTTTCCCTCACAGAGACCCAGGACTTTTTCATATTTATTTATCTTTATTTATTTATAGTATATTTATTTATATACTTTATTACATACTCTACTTATAGCACTAAAACAAATAAGGTTGGAATTATTCATATAGTTTTCCGTCTGCACAGCAACCCTGGTGGTATTTTCACCCCATTTTACAGATGAGGAAAGCAAGGCTCAGAGAAGTACTGAGTTAAGGTGCACAGTGAGTGACAGAATAAAGATGAAAATCAAGGGCTGCTGAGTCCCTTCTTCAACATGGCCTAAAATCTTGGAGAGGGGGAGGAAGTGGATTTTAAATATGATTGTCACTTGCATATGTATGCAAGACTCTTTGGAAGGTGGGGAGAAGCTAGGGAGAGTGTTTGCCTCCAGGGAGGAGCGTAGGAGCCTTGAAGGTTGGGGAAGGGTGTGGAAAAGGGGTGGGAGAGACCTCTTTACTGCCTTTGCACTTTCTGAAAGAATTGAAGTATTACCTCTTTAACAATCAAATAAAAGTTGATCCAATTCTTTCCTTCCTGCAGCCTTCTTTCAGCAATTTTATCAGCATGCTGGAGTGCTGGGAACTCAGGTGAGAGGAGCCGATGAACCTTGCCATCTCAGGTGAAGCCCCAGTTGCCCTGGCAGCCCACTCAGGTCAACTTGCAAAAGCCTGTGCTCCCATTCAGGCACCTCTTGTCTCCATTACATGCTGTCTTTAAGCCAAATTTATTTCATTGCTCTGGAGTTTATTCTTTGGTCTTGCTGCCATCAGTGGCTTCTAGATTTTACTGTTTATGGGGGAGAAAGAACATGCAGTTATGAGGGTTATGATGAAGGGCTGGAGTAGGAGGGCAGGAGCAGGTTATACGGCCACACCTCATTCATTAAGCGTCCTTGACCAGATCTCACTTCCCCTCTTGAAGGTACAATGTCTTTGCTCTACGAGGTGATGAGGGGATCATCCCTGCCCTGCCCACCTCATGGCGATCTCTGTGACTGCTAGTTGAGACAACAAATGTCCAGTGCTGCACCAAATGGCAGAACCATGCCTGGTTCTCACTGTATTTTTTTTTGTCTTCACTGTATTTTATGCACACTAGGCCAGGCCACAAGTCCTGTGGCTTGGAGATCTAGGATCAAAAGTACAGTTCATTTAGAAAACATTTCCACTCCCAAGTGTGTGTGGACTCAGACAGACCTGGGCTTGAGTCCTAGCACTACTGGCTGTGTGATCCAGGGCAAATTGCTTCACCTCTCTGAGTCTGTTTTTTTTTCTATAAGGTAAGACTAGGGAGTCAAAAGAGAGCTAATAGGATGTTAAAGTGAGGTGATGCCTGTGAGATTCCTGGTAACCAAGGACATACTCCTCAGACCCTAGAACCTCTGGTCTTTCCTCTTTCCCTTAGCTTATTGGGCATATTTAAAATCTAACATTCCTTTTCTAATAACAGTATGACACCTACCTATTCATAGTAGAAAATTTGGCAGAATCAGAAAAACATAGAGAAGAAAATTAAAATCACTGTCATATCACTACCCTAGAATTGCCACTGTTAACATTTTAGGGACCATCCTGCCAAGCTTTCTCAGTATGTATTAATGGTACTTCAAAACCAATCAGAATCATACAGCTTTGTGACCAGTTTTTTTCACCTAATGTTCTATGGTAAGCATTTGGAGAACCTGACACTTAATAATTGCATAATGCTTTAGTGTATGGATTATTTCCAGTTTTCACTATTGTAAATAGCATAGCACTACAGTGAATATCCTTATTTATATATCTTGTGTGTGTGTGTGTCTGATGATTTCCTTGGGATAAATTGCTAGAGGTGGAATTTTTGAATCAGATGGTATACACATTGCCAGTGCCAAGACATTTTAAATGTCGAATGTATGGTGGAAGTAGTTCCAGCAATTTATTCTTTCATTCATCAAGCATTTGTTGAAAACTTATTAGATGCCAAGTGCTGGGTCAGGCATGGGTGATACAATTGTACATTACAGATCTACAGCCACCTTAGGGGAAGGGTAGGAGACAGGAAAGGGATTGGCCAGTGAACCATAGGATGAGAAGGGCTGGAATAGACCAGGACAGTCAGGGACAGCTACTGCCCAAAGCCTGGGAGGGTGCCCTGGGTCATGAATCATTCTTCCTGCCTGGTTTCTTACAGATAATAAGCTCTTCCAAAGCTGAGCTAGCCCCAAACTTCCTGAGACTCCAAGGATCCAGTCTCCCCAAGCTGAGAACAACCAGAATGGGTAAAATAACAGACCTGAGCTGGGGTCTGGCCAGACCTGTTGGGATGTTTGTTTCTAATCCTGCACCACCTTTTAGTAGCTGTGAGACTTCAGGATTTTATTCACCCCTCCAAGCCTCTGCCCTCTTGTCTATAAAATGGAGTGAACAACAGTATCTATTGCATTAGGTGACCATAAATGAGTACAAAATAAGGTGATGCATGTCAAGAGCCTGCCTGGCATGTAAGTGCTTAATAAACGGGGTTGGGGGCTTGTATCATAGTTATGGGGTTCAGGTTTCCCACCTGTTTGAATCAGTGGGAGGTTGAGCTTGGTTGGTAGTTCTTCAATTTGAGCATGCATCAGAATCATCTGAAAGGCTTGTTAAAACAGTTTCCTGGGCCTCACTCCAGAGTTTCTGATTCAGCAGGTGTGGGATGGGGCCTGAAAATCTGCATTTCAAACAAGTCCCCAGGTGGATGTTGATGGCTGCTGCTCCAGGACCACACGTTAAAAACCAATGGTTTAAATGAATGAGGCCATAGTTTCTTAGTATGATACTTCTGATTCTCTGGCCTCCACAAGAGGAAGAATTTACCAGTGGGCCCTGGATTACCAGATAACAGGTTTGGTCTGATTAACTTCCAAGTTTCCAACACAGGCACCTTTACATGCTATTATGCATTGAACTGGATTCCCCCCAAATTTGCTTAAGTCCTAACCCCAGTGCCTGTGACTTTGATATTTGGAAATAGGGTTTTTGCAGACATAATCAAGTTAAGATGAGGTCATTAGGGTGGGCCCTGATCCTATGTGACTGGTGTCTTTATAAGAAGACATACAGACAGAGACATGATGCCATTTGCTGATGGAGGCAAAGACCAAAGAGGTGCAGCTGTAAGCTGAGGATTATCAGCAAAGCACCAGAAGCTAGGAAGGTCAGGATGGATTCTTCCCTTCAGGCTTCAGAGGAAACACTGCCCACAGCTTGATTTCAGACTTTGAGCTTTCAAAACTGTGAGCACAATTTATGTAGTTTTTCTGTAGTTTTAAGCACCCCAATTTGTGGTACTTTTTACAGCAGTTCTAGGGAACTGATACCAAGGTATCATTTTACAGACACCACCACTGCAAATCTTCAAAATCATACACTTCTTCAGAGATAGTATGACTCCCTTACTCCCCCCACCAAATCTGGGGATGTTTCCTTTCATGCAGTCCATGACTACACAGAGCATGAGAGGTTAAGCACTAAACTCTCACCTGTTGCCTTTTGACCTTCCCACATTCCTTGGGCGTATTTTATTATCCCTTATAATTCGCCTGTCCAACTGAAGAAGGAAATGTGACAATATAAGCACATGATGAGCTGGGAGAACCTCAGGCCTTTGTTTCCCATCAGTGTAGTTCTATGGGTGTGGGGTAGGGGCCAGGGAAGTCATAAGAGGGTATTCTGCCACTATGATCCCGGAAACAACACCCAGGAGGAATTGTATCCACTTTATCACTACATCATTTCTGTCAAGCTGTTCCTCCATTCCCTGTCTCCATCCCAGGGTGGGGATCTGTGCTCATTTTCCCCTATTTCAGGCAGTTATTCACCTGAAGGTGCCAGGAGGGAGACAAGAGAAGGAATCCTTATCTCCCTTCCTGCTGGTTTTCTGGCTTCCAGTCTCCTCTCTCCTCCTTCCTCCTGGGATAGCAGCCCCCTTTCCCCACAGGGCAGTCATCCTCTTCCTGAAAAGTTGCTCTTTCCAGAAAGTGAGCTAAATAAATAACCTATCTATTGTGCCTGCTGTCTCTCAAACCTCCCCTGATCACCTCCTACCTACCCTTCATCAAATCCCCCACCACACCAAACTTCCTTTAGTGCCTCTAGCCTGACATGCTTTCTGTCTCCCAGAAATGACACCTGCTGTTCCTTCTGCTTAAAACATTCTTCCTTGATTACACCACATGCAACATTCCTGGAAAGGTGGAATGGGTGGGGTTCCTGTGCACATTCCCAGCACCCAACTTCCCTGTATAGGAGGGCCACATTGTCTAGTAAGTACTTGTCTTTCTCTCCTCTCCAGACTGTGAACTTCTGAAGAACAGGGCCCCAGACTTACTCCTTTTTGCATCTGCAGCCTGGTAGCTTTGTGGTTTGAAACAGGCCCTCAAAGTGGGCTTGCTGCATGATAGGATGGAAGTAAAGAATGAGCAATGATGGTCATACTAAAGAAAGCTATTACACATACAGGATTTGTGTGTGTGTGTGTGAGCCTGGCTCTGTGTATCCAAAATCTCATTTAAGGCTAACAGAACTCTATGACAGAGACCCATTTATCCTCATTGCACAGGTGAACAAATTGAGGATTTGCTCTCACAACCACTTGGTAAGTGGTTAAAATCTAAATCTACTTGATTCCAAAGCCCGAGACCCCTCTCCTCTCCCCTGTTCCCCCCATTACCGCAAGTACAGTCACATACTGGCATACTAGCGCGGCTGGCGCGTCGGGCGAACACTGGACCACCATGAGTGCCGGCTGTGGCCGCGAAGGCCTGGGCAATCTAGCGACGCGTGCGCAGTGCAACGGCGGCGCCCCCTACGGGCGGTGCGAGGCAGACAGCGGCGTCCAAGGGGCGCTCAGTGCGCCTGCGCCTCGTGGAGCTGGTGTTGGTGCTTGGTGGGACTCGGCTGTTCGCGCGGCGGGCGCGGCCATGGCGCAGCTGGGCAGGCTGCTCAAGGAGCAGAAATACGACCGGCAGCTGAGGTGAGCCAGGGCTCACCGAGTCGGGCGGCGGGCCGGCGGGCTCCCATTGCATGCGGGCTGGGCCTAAGCGAGCGGGTGGCACGGTCGGGCCTCTCGGGCCTCCCGCCGGGCCGGGCCGCGCGGAGCTCGGGGAGCCGGCCTGGGGCCGGCGGTGCCCCTCGAGGTCTGGATCCCCCTCTCCGGAGGGGCGCTCCCTCCCGCCACGCGAAGTGCAGTTCGAGGTACGCGGTCCCAGCGTCAAACGGGTCACCAGGGCTTCTGCTGGCCCGCCTCGCCCCGCTTAGACTCCTCGTTTTTCTGAATGGGGGCATCAGGAGTACACCATCCCTGCCGCCGCGAGCGGCACCCAGTGTTAGGTATTGTTCTAAGCCAGCGCTGTCCAATGGAAATGTCGTTAGTCTCATGCGAGGCACGTATGTAACTATACATTTTCCAATATTAAAAAGAAAAACAGGTGAAATTAATTTTAATACACTGTTTAACCCAACATATCCAGAATATTATCATTTCAACACGTAATCAACATAAAATAGATATTTTAATTTTTTTTAACAACTGTCTTCGAAATCTGGCATTTTATTTTTTACAGCACATCTCAGTTTGTACTTAGCCTCATTTCTAGTGCTCAGTAACTACAGGTAGCTAATAGCTACCTTGATGGACACTGCAGGTATGAACCATAAAGCAGGTCCTTGGCTACTTCCTTGCCTTTTCTCCTTACATTCCCCCTTCCTATTTATTGAGCTGCTTCTATGTGTTAAGACTGGAAGTGACACAGATGCTTATTTC